ATAATATTTTTTAAATCTCAATAAAAACCGTTTGTTATCTTTCACGCTGCTTTTGTCTTCATAAAATTCTCACGTGCAGTTTAGGTAAATGGGGTCATAACCATTTTTAATGTCTATGTGAGTAGTAATTTTTAAAATTGCCTTAAAATATTGCCAACTTCCCCCCTTTTCCTTATTCTATCTAGGCTTACATATCACAAGTAAACAGAATTAATGTGAGTGTAGGGCCTTCTAGAATTTAGTGCTTTCTTAGTATTTTCTGTGCCACATTCTTGCTTTGTGCAGTACCGATGAGAAATCAGATGCTATCTGATATAGTTCCTTATAAATTACTTACTTTTGCCTAGCATTTTGTAGCATTTTTTCTGGAAGTCTATCAGAATATATTTATGAGGTATTTTTCTTTGTTTTGAACAATCCTGTCTGGAACTAATCTTTCCACAATTCAAGGATAATCTTTGTTTAAACTCGAGGAATTTTGTGCTATTATAATTTGAGTTTCTACCCAGTCTCTGTGAGTTCTGTGTTTCCTTACGGTTTTTCTATTTCCTGGCTCTGTCATCTCCTCTTTATCATTATCCTTTCCTTTATTATATTTATATTTTTACGTAATTGCTTACAGTTTGAAATATATTTTGGTTCTTAGAAGTGATCAGCTTTTTAATTTCAGTTCCTGAGTTCCTTTTTTCTGTGTGATGGGTTTCTCGTGAAGGACATCATGGTATTTTATGTTTTTATTTCCCTCCTTCCCTCTTTCCTCATCTTCTTCCATCCCTTCCTCCTTCATCTTTTGATCTTTTTCTTAGTAAAGTTACTATTTTTTTCCCTTTGGATATGTGACTGTAGTAGGGCCCACCCATTCAGATGCTTTGTTTTCCTGGTTTCTCAGGACTGGGGTCTCGTGTGCTTTGTTACTCTTTTGCCTTCTCTTGTCTCTCCTGTCTCTGGTGTTAACTGGAATATGTCAAGATAGTAAAAAGCTTCCAGAGAATCAGACCAACAGATGCAGGATGGAGGAGCAGTATTTTCTACTGGCTGGTGGTATATTCATTTATAAGCTGGCTATGTTCCACTCAATGGCATCTAGCTCCCAAAAAGTTTGTTGTCAACTTTCAGACAAATCTTAGGCTTAGGGTCAGAACATAATTCAGTTTACATGGGCAACTTTTCTAACAGTTCATATCAAGCCACAGAGCCTGTAACAGTCTTCCTGAAATGGAGTGTACCGCTACACATGACCATGCAGGATAAATACATCTCAATGGCAGAGAAAGTGATGCCCAGTGAATCTAATGTCAAGGGCATCTGTAATACCTTGGGCCAGAGTTGCATCTTCACTTAGCCTACACTTGACACAGTTCCCAGAATTCCTCTGTGTTCTGAATGCCAAGAAAAATATACCCATGTATCTTAAATCCTCCACCCACAAACCAGAACTTGCTCATCTCTCCATATTATTCTATTGATCTTCGAATAGTTATTTAAAATTTATTTTAGTTAGCATTTTTTTCAGAATCTTGCCTTTAGCATGAATGACAACAGATCAGAAAAGATGTTTCTGCTAGCAAATGATAGCCCTTTAAAATGAATTTTGATGTCTTATAAACAATTTCTATTGTCAGAATTAGTCTTAAACATTTTTTATCATACTTTTTAATTGATGTACAGCATCCACTCATAAATTGAGAAGCAAGTAGTTCTGGAGCACTTACAGATTTTTTTTTTCAATTTTCTTTCTATTGGTGCATTACCTATTCCTGTTGTTTTGATTTAAATGTTGGGTGTCTTTCAAAGACTAATGTGCAAAAATGTGTTAAAAGCTTGATATTCAAGGCAGCAGTGTTCAGAGCTGGGGCTTAAATGGTAATTGGATCATAAGGGTCAATTTGTTGATGAGTTCATTCCTGAGTGGGCTGTTAGGGTGTAGAGCCTAGTTGGAAGAATTAGGTCACCGGAGGCACACCCTACTCTCTGGCTGTTTCCCTGCCTACTTCCTGGCTGCCAAGAGATACACAGCTTTGCACCACCATGCCCTTCTGTCATGATATTTGTTCCTTACAGCCAGCTGATTATTGTTTTAAATCTTCGAAACCATGGACGAAAAAAAACCTTTTCTCCTTTAAGTTGTATATCTCAGGTATTTTGTACTAGCAACAGAAAGGTGATGAGTAAAAATATATTATTAATCCTTAAATCCTCATTCTTTCTAAAATTATGAAGTAACAGTGAATAAATACCAGTTCATGCTACCCGAGTTTTAAAGGAAAAAAATTTCATACAAATAAAACAGTTTTTAGAAGTCACTAAACAACGATGAACTGTATTAACTCAGCTATATACAAATCATTTTTAGTCTTCTAACATTGTCACTTGTGAAATATTTGAGAATGCAAAACTTGAAAATATTATACAGTATAATGGGATTTTTACTCCTTTTCTCCATTACCTTTTTAATTGGAAAAGTAATACATATCATGGCTAAATAAAATTGTTACTTTTCATAAATGAAAAAGAACTTCCCCATCCCAAATTCAGACTATGGGTTTCTTCTCTTCAAAGAAAAATCACTTAAGGAGTCTATGAATTAATTTAATTAGATAGCTGTAGCAAAGCTTTTAAAAGATATTTAATTACAAATTAACTTTCCAAACTTTAGGTACTCTATTATATCCATATTCAAAAAGCAAACAAGTAAAAGTCCAATAAATGCTTCCTATTCTCTGAATTATATTCTGACTGTTTGTTTAGCATATAAATTCTCCAGTCTGACCTTACTTTATATTTTCAGCTGATTTCCAACTGTTCCTTTATATTTAGGAAGCTCACTTGTCAAATTGAATATTGTATGAAGCTACTATACTTTTTTAATCTGTTGAAGTCCCTTCTCTCTCAGTGACCAATGAAAATCACTACCTCCATAAAATGAACTGGATGCAATAGAGACTATGTCTTTCACTCCTATGATTGCCCATAATACAAATAGCTGAATTTTATTTATTTAAATTAATGAAAGCGCTTTTAAGAAGTTACATAAGTAGTTTCTTGAATTACAGTATGCTTTTAATCATGGTTGTAGTCGGCCTTTAATAAAATTTACAGTTTCAGAGGGGTTCCATTATTTTATATTTTTTTGCATTAGTCTAGCTACTTAGAGAAGACACCGCATATATTTGCCTTTGGCGTGCAAAATAAAAAGTAAAATCTTCCTTTCAGCATTTTTCTTGGGGAACAAATTTATTAGAAAATCAATTCATATACACTTTAGCATATGCCTTTGTAAGATGATGCTAAAGCAGTACACAGATTTTCACTCTTTCCAAAATTGGAGTAGTGCCACAGAATGTAAAATATTTTGAGACATCACCTTAAAACATGTCATTTTGATTTTATCATTTATTTGAATAATATATAAAATTTTTCATTTTCTGTTTTTATTACCAACTTTTCAACTTTTGAAAATAAAGAATAAAACATCCTTTAAAACATTTGTTTTTAAAAATATTTTAAGGAAATACATACTGAAATAAAAATATACAGATTTCATAATTTTCACATTTACCTGTCATGTCAAATTTCAAGAATAGGTAAGTAATTTATTCATGCAAGGTGTGTAATATTTGAAAATCATTTTTAACTATCCTATTGACCGTTCATTTCTATTCATCATTATTCTGAGAACTTTTAATATTTGCCTATTTTTTCTTACTTTGCACAACTTTGAAATTGAGCAGATTTTATATTAAAATTGATTTAACGTGTAATTTAAAAATTTATTTTTTCTCACCCGTATTACTAGAAGTAAATGCATAATCTCTTCATAAATAGAAAGAATGGTAAGGCGATTGGTTTACTAGTTGCTATTTAGTATTTTGTACGTATAGTAGATTTATATAGAAACTGTACCACTCTTCCACTAAATGACAGTCTTTCAGAAAAGTTAAGAATTTCTGTTTCTATCTGCTTGTTCATAAAATACTGTATGTAGTTTTGTATTTAAAAATAAGAGAAAGTACTATTCCTGACACATGTAGGTATATATTGAATGCCATTTTATAGTATATCAAAATATTTTAGTGACAATAACAGAAGAAAAACACCACTATGTGGAATTCATTGTTCCTTTCTTTTAGATTTAGTCATGATGTTAGTGCATATTGGGTCACTCAGACTGCAAATTTTTCTCTGTGAACAAGCAAGGTAGTCAAATGACTTGCCAGATACGAAATAGCAAAATAGTCATGGTCCAAAGTTTGCAAATCAGTTAGTGCCATCCCTGCATGTCCAGTTTCAGATTGGTTGACTATTTGTTATACTGTAGATTCCTTCAAAGTAAGGACTGACAGAATCCTGCCCCTTACAGAGCTGGTTAGATACCCTCATGATTAATTGAACTCATAAATGTGGCTTACTTGGCACAGTATTCTACCCAGGAGTAAAACTATTGTATATATACTTAAATCATTTCAAGAGATCACTGTCATTCTCAGAATGAACCCTCTCAAATATATGGTGCAAATCTATGGTTAGCTATATCCATGGAAAATATATCAATATATTGTTACATTCTTTATAAGCAAATTTAAACACAATCAGATCCAAGGTAACGTAATTGCAGTTTTATCTCAACTTGCCCTATTTAGCATTTATTGTAATTAATTAATGTACTGTTAGGAGAGTTTTTAATTTTTCCATGGTATTATGACAGCTTGGAAAAAATAAGAAAATAGAAATCTTCCTCTTGTTACCATTAGAATTCCCCCAAAAGCTAGACACATAAAGAATAGCTGATAAGATCTCAGGTATGTTTTATTCATTCCTGTTAGAACCCTCAGAAATTTATTTCAGTGCTCTGAAAAGATTGGATCATGGCATCAAAGAGGCCTATGTTCGGAGAAGGTCTCTTTAGCATCCATTAAAATGTCCCTGTCTAGCAATCTGACTGCCCTGTGTTAGTGGGTATAGAACCTGTAGCTACACTACAACATGGCACAGAAACTTACCTTTGCCCTCTTCTCTCATGTATGAATATGGATGAAGACTAAGACAAGGAAACTTACAAGACACCTTGTTAGGCTTGAGTCAGTTTATTCACAGAGATCTGCAGAAAAGGAGCAAATTTTGAGTTTGTACCTTTTACAGTATTGTGATTAGATCTACTACAAACTGCTTTATTTGACAAATCATTTAATTGAGTCACCAATTAACTTTCTGCTATAGATGATTGTCTATAGAGTGACAAGAATAGTTTGTATTAGGAAGTTAATCTTTCTTCTGTTTATAATGCACTAAAATTTTAAGCTTTGTCAGTATGGATTGCATTGTATAGATTATTAGCAGTATTTTTGCTTTCATCTATGTCATATAAACCATTTCAGAAAAGGAAATGAGTGATTTTTAAGTCTGCTGTTCAAGGCAGTTTTTCATTGTGTTACTACTTTTGACTAGTAAAGAAGTCATCTCATTCCTGTTTTCTGAAAACCACACTAACATCAATATAACTATTAATCACCAAGAGCTATGTCATTGGCATATATCTGATAGGTGACAGTATAATGTAATACATAGATATACATTCCAAATTCACCAAACAGTTTCATTTTCCAAATAAATATGTTGTGTTCAGTTTGCAAGGTGTTAGGCTATCATCATCCTGGAATATTATTCCCATTACGTGATTAGCTCTTTAGAATCCTAACTCCTTTATTGAGCAATATTAAGTCCTTTTAATATTCAGGGTCATTTTCTGTGATTGAATTAAATAATAACCATTATTTATAATTCCATTAATTATCTACTTTTACTTAAAAAAAAACTAACTGCAGCTACTAAAGAATCTCCTTTTGGGGCTTAAGACATTGCTTCAAACAAGACACTTGTGTGTGATAGCAAGTTTCACTTACAGCCTTCCTAGTCTCTTACAGGCCCATCGGTAGTATTTTTACTCTAGTAAGGTATCTGATACTCAATTGCTATGTATTTAATATCATCATCAAAGTTCCATAGATCTCTGTAAATGTTTTTTTTATTCTTATCCAAATAAAACTGTCCTTTTTGATATGTTTTTATAAGAAGAATAAGATAATGGTGACATAAATTTTAACAGACTATTACATATTAGCATAGATGCAAATGTAAATCATAGACATAATATTAGGAAAGGTGAATTTTTAAACTTCCTGAGATAAAAGGAATGCAATGTATATTTAGAAAGAACAAATCCAGTAAATATCTATCAAAGTGAAGACATTCAGTTTCTTTTTACCTAATTTGAATTAGTTAACTCTTCTTTATTCAGGGAATAAAGATCTTTTGTTGATTTTTTTAATGATACCTCATCGCTGTATGCTTTGTTAGACAAAACTGTATTAAGTATCTACTAGGTGAATAGTCTTTTCAGTTAAAGCGATTCAACGTATGGATACAACCAGCTTCCTTAAGTAGCTTAAAATTTCAGTAATCACGTCTCAGACTATATGTTTTCACTTGTTAGAAAAAGAACACGAGTTTGCAAGAAATGGGAATAAAATCATACTGCTACATTGTGAAATTTCTTGGAATAATTTAAAGAAATAAAATGGGAGACATGGAAAATCATTAGTTATAAGAATTACTTGTAGTTTTAAATTACATTTAATAATTTAACCAGTAAACCAGGTTCATTTTAAAGCAACGAACAGAAACAAGAGAGGACTTTCTGTAATGTGCTTCCACAGTGCATTGGAGAGGATTGAGGCTGGCAAAATCAGCCCAGAGGCCATGACATTTCCTTGCATTACCCTGGACGCTTGTGAACCAAGAGATGCAAAACACAGTGGCATTTCTTGGAAAACAAGCAAACAAATAAAAACTATTCCCTTGGTTTGAGAATAAACATGTGATTTTTAAATAATTTCTTTTGTGCTATATACAGGACTGGATATGAGACTGAAGAAACATATTACCATGTATATTATACTTAAACTACTTTCTATAAAGTGGAACTATGATGATTTAAAAAATAATTTTCAAAAGTTGAGAGTAGCTACTTTTCAGTGTCTTTTCGAGCAGCAGTATTTATTTTGGAGGCTTTTTTGTGGCCTTTTACTTCATGACATCTGGTAAACTTTACTGATAATCAAGGCTGAATAATTTACAGTGTCTACAATCAGTATGTAATCAAATCTGATGAAAAAAATTTGCACATGCTTATTACATCCATATATGTGTGTGTGTATATATATATGTATATATATATATTTTTTAAATGAACTACTTTTAAAGCTGCCATTTAAGACCTTATCTTGTACCTCTTGAACTAGAAACGTTATTTTATTATCAGTGCCCTGGTATAAATGAGAACATTCCCTATTGATCTGGTAGTAGTTATGTTAGTAGTTACATTATTTAAAATTCAGGTCTTTATGTTTAATACTGTTTATCCTTATCTCTACTCTGATACTTAGTTGAGGGTTAATATTACTATTTTCAGGAAAAACTGTATTCTTGGAAGTCATTCTAAATACTTGGCATCCAGAATGTTACTAAATGAAAATTAATTGCTTTTCATAAAAAAGGACATTTTACAAGACTGAGTAATCATATTAGAATAATGACCGGCCTCACTAATGGAAATTAAATGTGATGCTGGGTGTTCTGGCACCATAGCCTGGGAGCTAGGTTTGCATGTAAACGTGTAATTTCTATCCCTGGGGTGGAATTTGAATCTCAAAATAATTAGTTCTGTCAAATAATTAATTTTGTTGATAGGATTAAGTTGAGGATATACAACCTCACACACATATATTATAATTATTTGCAATGACAAGATGATACAAAACAATAATCTTCAATTCTGGATGTCAAACTTGATTATATCATTTTTTTAGAATTTTTGAGAGTCATGTTAATAACCTTGAAGGTAGCATATAAGTCATCATGTAAAGTGCCACTTACATATCGAACATTTATTGTCTTTGAATGTGCTGTGTTTGCATGTTTGTGTGGGAAACTTTCCTGTTTTTACAAAACAGTGCATGTTACCAAAAGGTAGTTTCCAGTCAATCTTCAAGTGTTAATATACTGTTTTTTAAAGTGGTTGAAGAAAGTGCAACTCATGTTAATTCCATTCCCTTCTTTCCTTTCCTCTACCCTGTATACCTTAAGTGTACCAATAAAATTAATTTTTTAAAAGTACACTGAAAAAAAAAGAAAATACAACTATGTAACTTGCAGGATGTGATTTGGTTCTGTTGTTTTTACTCTTGTGCAACTGTGTTGTTTTTAAAGTTTATTTTTCTGGATTTTAAAAAAGCTTCCTGTATTTGCTAGCATATTATGCCAGAGAATTCCATAATTACTTTTGTACTAGTAACCCTGACAAACTCAACACCAATTGTACTGACCATCTGTGTAGAATGATACCTCTAGAAATTCTTTCTAGCTCTACTGGTTTATTTCCAAGTATCATCATTATTTTCCTTTATAACTAGATCATTATGCTTTCACTAATATTTTAAGTATTTACACATACCCAGGTTTGAAATAATTCTATTCATCTCCACAAATACATCAAGAGGAGAGTAATGCCATTCCCAATTTCATAAGTAGGCTAAAAGCACTTTAAGTGGATTAAATAATTTCCCTTAAGGAACGCATCTAATAGAAAATGATGTTGTGGTTTGAAACAAGGTGACTTGATTCCAGATTCTATGTTTTCAGTATTACGTTCCTTCTGTATTTATGACTTATGTCATGGAAAACTGGAAGTTTTTCCAGCTTTGCTCTCTGTGATTAGTTATCATTGAAGTTTGTAATTCAAATTGTTTTTAAACACTAAATAAAAATATTTTCTGAAGTAGCAGAGAAATAGATTTTTCAGAAATCTAATTAGTAAATTATATATTAGGCTGATTTTGCCCAGTCTCAAATCTCCTGGATCCACCATGAAAGCACATTATGGAAAGGCCTATATTGTCTCTGTTCATTGCTTTAAAATTTAATTTTAGGTCTTGTTAAAAGAAATATGTTTTTCCTTAGGAAACATAAGAAGTACTTTTCATTTTAATTTAAAATTGATCTTGAAATGTAAGAAAAATAATATCTTGGGTCACAATAGACTAACTGTCTTTTATCTAAAGTAAATTTTAATTTTTCTGGCAGATTTTATTTTATTTTATTTTATTTTTTGGTACTGGGGATTGAACTTGGGACCTTGTGCTTGCAAAACAGGTGGCAGAACCACTGAGCTAAATCCCCTGCCTCTCTCTAGCAGATTTTAAAAACTGCATTAAATAAAATTCCTTCATTATGACTATTTTTATAATTTCTCAGTGCATGTTTTTAGTAAATAATGATTACATTCATCGTGGGGGCTTTGTACATGTGCATAATGCATTATAATTCCCTTTACTTCTCTGTGAGCCCATCCCTTGATCCTCTTTCTATTTGCAAAAGATCTACATCCCTGTTTCCTGCTGTCGGTCTTTTATTTTCTCTTTGAATCATTTTTACCTTTAATTTCTCATATAAGATAAGCCATGCAATATTTAAGCTTGTGTGTCTGAGTTTTTCACTTAACATTATGGTCTCAAGGTTACTTTTTAAATAGTTGAATTTTACCTAGTTGAAATTATCATTTATTATTAAATTCTTTCAGCCTAAGCCAATCTATTTTTTCAAGATAACAAATATTGTACTGTTTTCTGAATTTAACAAAGGTAGTATAAGTTTCTGCAACTGAAACCTGTCCAAAGGCAGAGCTCAATTTAACCAAAAATTGTATGTACTTCAGTAATAGAGTAAGGCTGTCATCTAGACGGTATTTATCTAGAAAGTATTCCATGTACTTTGACAAAATGTCTGGCACATAGTACAGAATTTGGTTTCTTTTTTGTTGACCTGGTAAATTAATGATAGTGTAGTTTGTATTGTTCACTAGTGTTTCTACTCTGCACTGTCCCTACCCCATCTTCTTTTCTTAAAAGAAAGACAACAAATTCTAGAATTAAAAGAATACTGTCCCAAAACCTATTCATCCACCAAATGTAAAAATATAATGTTTAGGCATTACATTTTATTTTGAGTTTTTCTTATTGATTTCAGATATACATAATTAAATTAATAATAGTGTTTTTCAGCTGGGGATTTAGCTCAGTGGTTCTGCCACCTGCCTTGCAATCGCAAGGACCCTAGTTCCATCCCTGGTACCAAAAAAAAAAAAAAAAAAAAAATAGTGTTTTTCAATTTTTACCAAAATAATTACTGGTTTTTGAAGTACAGCTAGCATTGGTACATGCAGGACCAATATAACTGTATTTCATTATTTGTCAGGTGGCAGTCTAACTTTGAACTCATTAAGTGTGCAGTTCTGTAGTGAGGCAACATAGAAAATTCTGGCTTTGGTGGGATTGCTTTCAGACTGAAATGCAATCTGTGGCATATGGCTAGCATCTTGCAATTAGGAAGGAGTAAAAAGGTCTACGTAAGTACAAAGTATATTAATTTGCCATCAAGGATTGATTGTCAAGTCTCATTAAGTACATCGGCGTAGGGTTTTTGTTTACCCCGCTCTGTTACACAGGAGAGAAGCCTGAATGGCTCTGCAGCTAACAGTTTATCTTCCCCTTCAACAGCGGGACAGATGTTTGGCACAGAGAAGGTCTCTCTCTGCATCCACAAAGGTGAGCTCTAGGCGATGGCTCTGGACAGTGCTGTAAACAATTACAAGCAGTTTATTTGAGTGTACATTTTATGAAGTAATTAGACCCAGAGAATGATATCTTATGCAATTACCTGAATTGTTTTGCAGATGTTTCTTCTCACAGGCATCATATACATTGCCAATCTTTTTGAAAAGAACAAAGTTAAGAATACATTTCACATTTCATTCCTGACATTTCTAGTAGGTTGCATCAAAGAATTTAAACAGTTATCTTGCTGGGCATGGTGGTGCATGCCTGTAATCATAGCACTCGGGAGGCTGAGGCAGGAGGATCGCTGTGAGTTCGTGACCAGTCTGGGCTACACAGTGAGTTCCAAAGCAGTCTCAACTACATAGTAAGACCCTGTCTCAACCAACAGACAAGAAAAACAAAACAAAAGTTGATATCTTGATGCATTACAGTCAATGTGCTCTTGTTCCTATCACTGTAAAGGGAACTATCCAAAGGAAATGCCAAGGAAAGGTATGTTAGATACATGAAAATGTCCAATAATACTTTTGAAGTACTATTACTAGAAATTATTTTCCTGAACAGCACAATGCTAATATGATGTGATGTTCAGTTAATATACCTGGAGAAGAAAATAAGATACTCTAATCATGAATAAAGTAAGCACTTATCTCAATGACAAAACCAGCACTAAGCAAACTGAGTTAACTCAGTGGCTTTTACTAAAACATACCACAATAGAAAATGTTGCATAAATGCTGAATGAGATGGTAATTGTGTGAACTTAGATAATAGCTATGCAGGTGTATAATTTGTGTCACTGGACTTCTGAGCCTTAGGTGCTTTCTGTATAAAACAGCACCAATAGCAGAAGTCCTGTCTACTTCAAAAGGATGTTAAGAATCAAAGAATTAATAACAATGATGTTATTAATTTTGTGAGATTCGGTGAGATTCAACTTGCTATAGAAATATAAAAAAAATTTAAATAAAAAATCTCTAAAGGAAACATAATGTGACATATGCCAATTATTTGTATTCATTACACTAGTAATGAATGATAGGCAAAGCATTGTGCAAATTACATGTATTTTGTAAAAATAAATTTTTCAAAGTTTGCCTCTGCTTGGGTTTTAATTCTAGAAACAGTAATCCATTCTACTTACAGGAAATAATGAATAAAAAATGGGTAAGCATTTTGCCTGAAGTTATGATTTTCAGGCCTCTGTTACTACCATTATACCAGGCTGATTTAGTTCTATAGTTATACAAAGCAGGGAAATAACAATGCTGCTTCTAAAAATAGTAACATATTTAAGACTTCTGGTACTAAAGAGTCCTAAGGTATATTAATGTGTTGAGGTTTTTGATTGTTAACATATTATTGGGCTTCCAAAGTACTTAAAATTTAGCAGTATTTATCTCCCTTAATATTGTGTAAACTACTGCAAATATCGTGAGACTGGATGATATATAATGAACAGAAATGTGTTTTCGGAGTCTGAGACATTCAACAAGGTGTTGTCATGTTTGGTGTCAGATAAAGGCCTATAATAATGAGTTCAGTTTGCAATAAGAGTTACCTAGACTCTGCTTCCAAGATGATATTTTCAACAATGTGTTCTCACATGAAAGAAGAGATGGAGAGCCAAAGAAACCAAATAAGTTCCTCTAGCTTATAAGGTTAAAAGCCCATTTCATTTGGATCTGCCTTTATGACTTAATGAACTAATGACAACATTCATTGATTCTATCACATTGGGATATAAAAAATGAATTTGGAATGACACCTACATTTAAACCATTGCATCATCAGTTTTGTCTCAATCTAGCAATGGGCATTATCTGACCTTAGCCCAAATTATGAGTAGCCTTGGTATTGAGTACTGTAAAACCTCCAGAAAGAGACCCTATCACAGGTGCTGGTGCTATCATAGGTGAGAAAGTCCTCAAGAGAGCCCTTGTAGTTCTAGTAGAAGGCTCCTTAGAAGTGACTGTTACATGTAAGTGTTTTATAGAACCTTATGATAATCAGCACTACAGACAATGCCTGCTGAATTTTCAGTAGTTAATAAGATATCAGCATTTTGGTGTCTGGACTTTCAAACTCATAAAACATACTTTTGTAATATCTGTATTTTTCTGTATAAACTTTTGCAAAGTTGAGATTGTTACTATTTGTTTGTTCTTATGATCCTACATAATGTTCAATTTTTATTTTGCACAATGAGCTTCATAGCCTTCAACCAAACAATATCCACATAGGGGTGGTGACTTTTTTTTCTAAATATGCTTTAGTAAAACACAGGCCTTTTCCTCATACAATAGAAGGGACCACTCTGTATCCTTTATTTTATTTATTTATTTATTTATTTTTTGTACCAGAGATCAAAGTCAGGTCCTTGCACTTGCAAGGCAGGCGGTAGCACCACTAAACTAAATCTCCAGCCCTCTATCCAGTTTTTTAAAAAAATAGCTTTACTTTCCTGCTTGACTCTATTGTTTGCACTGGATATTAACATGTCTTTTTCTATGAAGAAAATTTTATAAGACATTTTGAAATAATGCTTTCTATCTGAAATAAGAATTACCTATTCAGTATTGAGCATCGATTTTGTCTACATGTATTTCTGTTTTCAAAAATTATGAAGAGCTTTAAAATCATACCATTAGTAGTAGTAGTCAAAAGTATTTGTTATATATCTCTATCTTAAAATTATGCTTCTATTTTTTTCAATAAATATGATAATCTCTGCCAGATTGTACACTTGAGCCTATTTAGTGTATATAGGCCCTTCTATTAGGTTAGGATGATTGGTCATGCCAGAAAGGAGAGTAATCACTTACTTTTGTATGGAGGACACCATTAAAAATTTCTCAACATTGTATAAGGAAGGAACACATTTTTGGCTGACAAGACATGGGAAAACCTCCATTTTTGCACATGAAGTATGGCAGAGCCTCTTACAAATGCTACTGTAACAAAGAGAGTTTCTTCTCTGACTGCAGGTGTCAGAAGTTGTGACACTCAACAAAAGTCATCATATGATCATTGAAAGCAATATATTTGCCAGTGAAAAGAGTTGTTACAAATTATTTCAAAATTACAAAAGAAAATCATTTCAAAGTTATTTACCTGGTTGGTGGGAAAGGTGTAATTTTAATATAAGTACAAACTAAAGAGAATAGTAGATATCTATCAACAGAAGTTATTGGGCTTTCCAATAATTATGTATACTTGGCAAGACACAAGTACTTATTATGTTAAAAAAACCTTACAAATTGTTAAGTTAGTATTACAATGTATATTGCATATACACCTATAATGTATAATGTCATTCCTGAATTTAACTTAGTAAATAAGAAAAATGACAGAAAAAGTGGAAAACTATAATTCAGAATTGGCTTACTTGGTTTTTACACAAAAACAATTACCTAAAAATCCCGCAATTACCTAAAAATCAAATATATAATCCACTTGTGACTACTTTGAAAATATTTATGACTCACTCAAGAAATATTTAAGTTTTGTAAGTGAAGCCCAGTCTAAGGTTGCTATTTTATTGCTTCTATTTTGGAGCCCTGTGACCTATGTCAGCATCACTATTTGCATAATTTAAAGAACCATTTATATATGTGAAGCTCATTTTGAAACTCTCCTAAGATAGCTGTATGAAGTCAAAATTGTTGTCATAAATCAAGCAAAATATAGTCCTCTTCATGATGAAAGACCTTAAAGGCAAGTAGGAGACATCTTTCTCTATTTCTTTGTGATAAGCATCTCTGCTTATCAAATTTCTATAAGAGATCACTGCACAGATGGTGGAGCTCTCTTCAGCTGGGGATACAGGGATATTGTTCTGAGAGACACAGATCTGTCCTGCACATCTTATCTTGGTTTAGACTAATATTTTTAAATGATAAATGACTTTTATCTGTGTGTGAATGTAGTTTACCATGCGAATATTAATTTCTGTCAAACTTATCCAAATGGAAACTAATAGAAACCCATATAGCATATTTCTGAATTAATCAAATCTGTATTGAATAAGCCAGTCTTTGAAATATGATCTTCCCTGAATATTACTCCCATAGACTCATTACTTTTGGCTGTATCTTAAACTTGTAGGAAAACATATAACATAGATTGGTTAAAAGAACCATGGCCAACAGTGTTACCTGAGCATATGAAATGTACATTGCAGATAAAGTTTAGAGCTATGTAATTATCCTGGCCCCCTTACAAGATACAAAATGCTTTGCTTGTAAGACTGAAAGAGAAGTTGTGTGAAACCTAAAAGTCATTCCTAAGAGTATAAGTACGTACCTAAACATCAGGGCTTCTGTAACAGCATGTCCTCAGTGTGTATATTCCAGCAATGCCAAAGAGCTAAGAGATACCTATACAATCACAACTGCTCATGAGTTTAAGGTAAATACCAGTCAAGAGTGCGATATATCACTTCTTAATTAAAACACCCTCTGGTAGTGTTGACTCATAAGAATCTTTGTTGAGACCAACGTGCTAACTTCAAGATTGCAGTGAGCTCAGATGAAATATTTTTAGAGGCTGTGTCAAAGGACCTTGCAAACACATTTTAGGAAATAACTGATGTAATGCACTAAGAATGAGTGTCCAAATCTAGCTTCAGAGAAGTCATCAGACTGCCATAAAGTGTCTTTTGAGGACAGGGAAGTTTTCAAGAGAGATGTAAATCATGCTTTCATAAACTTGATGTATGTCAAGGTAGACAAATAACATTTTCACTGAAGAAAAACAATCCAGAAAATAATCAAGCTAACATTTTTAATCTTTTCCTATGTGCTGGATATTGTGCTTATTGCTTTCTTGCATTTCATTTAAACCTCTGAAAGTCATATCACTAGTCCCTACTGTTATTTATAAATTACAGATAGAAAACTGACAAAGAGACTAAACAACTGCTCAAAGATATTAATCTAGAAGAGATATGTGACTGGAATAATTATTTCATACTTATGCTTATTACTATTATTTTTGAAATAAGGTCTATACCACTCCTTGGTATAATGCTTGAGAAATTAAAGCCTGCATACTATCGAGATACCTGCATACTTATGTGTATTGTGGCACCATTCACAATAGCTATGCTGTGGAATCAGCCTATGAGTATATATACATTATGGAGTATTATTCGGTCATAAAGAAAAACAAAATTTTATCCTTTATAGGAAAGTAGATGGAACTAGAAATCATCATGTTATGTTAAATAAGCCGGACTAAATAAGACAAGTAGCACATGTCCTCCTTAATATGTATACTAAAAAGAAGATGGCATGATACTAGAAGGAATGTTATTATTGCAGAAGAGAAAGGGAATAAGAAAGAGCGGCTAAATATGAGGGGAATAGGGGATGTTTATGATTAAAATATATGCATTGAAGTGATACTTTCTAAAATCACTACTAAAAATAATGAGTAGTTATATAACATTTTAAGAATCTTAATCTTTACTAAGCTTATAGATGGGTGATGTTTAATAATAATACTGTATCACTTATTCCAGAGAAGGGAAGTCATATTTGTTTATTTCTTAGAATTTTCACAATGTTTTATACAAATTCTGCCTTATATAGGTAAATAGAAGGAAGAAATGGGCATTTGTCTATCATCACACTATTGCACCAATAGTGTTGGTTTTATTCCACTGAGAAATTGTGCTCTGGGTCAGTCATCTGCAGTACATACATTGCTAGATGCTATCATTTATAACAGAGTCTACATTCATAGCTAACAGTTGAGTTTAAGGACTCTGTAAACCAGAACTTTATCTGATCTGCAGATACAAAATGAATTTTCACTATACAAGTTTTTCTGTGCTACTTAATTCAACCTTAATCATTTACCTATTCCGGAGGAAATTATTATTGTAATGCATTTATTTATATTTTGTGAGAGTAGAGGACATTGGTTGCGAGATTTAACACCTTTTATTGTAGAGCCAGTGTGCCAGCGCTACTTCAATAATGATTGAAAGTTGTTCATCTCTGCAGGCAGTTTACTAGCCTACATGAAATCACTTAGTGGTCTAAACTTAACTCCTGAGGGAACTGTCATGCCTGACAGTTTGAACAAAGAGGACAAGAATGGAATGGACCTGTTAACTAAGAATGAGTGAATTTCTCCTGTGGGTGTAACAATGTTTACCCCCTGAAATTCAGCTTTACGTGACCTGAGAGATTTAAAAAAGAGACAGAGATTTTATTCAATGTATGAATATGAGGAATAGAACAGATTTTTATTCCAGTATATACACAAGAATAATTCTCTTTTCTCTATCACTGACATCATACCTTGATTAGAAATAAATATGTTTTGCCTTTTTTTCCATACTTTCCTTGTTTAATTTCATTAATGTAAACTGTTATATGATTTATTAGATTACTCAGAAGCTGAATACAAAGTTATATTTTCTACTCCATATTATTTCAGAGAAAGCATTTCAAGTGTGTAGATTAGTAGATGTTATATTTATTAGAAAAAGTTAAAAGAAAATAGGCATTCTCAAATACTTTATCAGCTGTTATTTCTCAATATAAAGCATACAATTAATCTTAGCTTCTGGCTGTCCTCCCCAACATAATATGATTAGTTATAGTGGTGATGAGGCCTCTCAATGCAGAAATCTTGAGCACTATAGAGATTGGTATCTTCCTGAAAGAATTTAAAACATTTCTTTGCAAATACTCCAGATTCCAGAAGAAATAAAGGAAAAACTACTGTAGTGAATGAATATTTAGTAAGCACTTAGAAGAATGGCAGATATACAAGAAATGCTTTATGCTTATTAAGTAGAAACTAAGAGTTGCAGAACTGTCCTTTTTGAGATAGTGTTAATGATTTATAGTGTTTTGAAATTCAGTCTCCTACATACACAGAATGTTTATAAGCAATGTCTGTAATAGGCTTAAAAAAATAGTTGATCAAAGTTTAAAAAGCACTGCTTACTGCTTCTCCTACTTTATTTTGAACTGACTTTTCCCAACCCAGTCAGGGATCTTTTCAAATAGGTTTTGGTTTCCATTGGAGGTTGATGACCAACCACAAACCAGGATAATGGTGTTTCATGGTTCCTGACTTTCTGACAAATAATGGTTCAAACAGCATTCAGTGCCACAGGGTTGTTGTGTCTGTTCTTAGTGCAGAATCCCTAATAGTGTAGATGCAGTGCCAGTCACAGCATGGTCCATGGCTCAGAGGAAGCTTGTTTCCTAGTTGATTCATTTCCCAAGACCCTGTGTCACAAGTGGGTACTGACCCTTGTTGACCTTATTGACCCAGTTAAGTAAAAAGAATCCCGGATTGTTGCTTTGACTTTTCTGTATGACTCAACGCAATCTTCTGACAAGGTCATGTTAAGCAGTACAAAATCATAGTAGAACTATAATTACAACATCTTGATATTTAAGAATAAAAGTTCATTTTGTAAGAGGAGAAAGCTTTTTAGATTATCACATGAACTAAATTTCATAGAATTATACAAGTTTGGAGAATATTACAGAGAATACAAGTGCAGTTCAGGATAGTCATTTGACGTAAAAATGTCTGAGATTTTCCATCAGTTTTTTTTTGTTTTGTTTTGTTTTAATCTTTGAATCTCATTTTTAACTTAAGGTTGATATTTAATTATCCAATTTAAGGTTGATATTTAATTTTCTTTATAAAGATTTCATTGGATTTCTTATGGATTGGATAGAAAATACTTACATGATGATGTATGAAAGACTAGATTAGGACACTAGTCGGTAAGGTCTGTATTGGCCCAGAGGAAACTTGTTCCATTTCTCCAAAACTCCAAAATTAAAAGTGAATTTTTGGGCTGGGGATTTAGCTCAATGGTTCTGCTGCCTGCTTCACAAGGATGAGGACCCAAATTCGATCCCCAGTACCAAAAAATAAAGAAAAGTGAATTCTTTTATAATTGGGTAATATGAACTACTGTAAATGGAACTGTAACTGCAAAATTCATGTGTTGAAATCTTAACCTCCAGTGTGATAGCATTTGGATGTGGGGCATTTAGGAGATAATTTGGTTTAGATGAGATCATGAAAATGAGAACCTGTAATAGGACTTGTATAAATAGAACAAGAGGGAGAGATTCATATTCTGCCCCTTCCTTCCTTCCTCCCTTTCTTTCTTTTATTTTCTTTTCTCATTGAGTTTGTTGGTACATTTTAGGTATACAGTACAGTTACATTCATCATTGGGATCTTGTACCTTTACATGACAGGTCCTAGTTTTTCCCCTTTCCGCTGCCCTCCCTTCACCCTCTCCTCCCTTCCCTATTTACAAAAACTTTATTTCCATTTTTTCATTTCCTCATATTTTTTCCTTCCTCCCTTTCTTATTGTGAGGACACAGTGATAAGGCAGCCATCTGTTTCTCAAAGAGAGAGACCTGTCCCCAAGATCTAATGAGGGAAGTCAGCTTTACTTTCAATTTCTCAAAAAATGTTAAGAATAATTTTCTATTATCAAAGATATTCCATTATGGTATGTTGTTACAGCAGTTCAAATCAAAGAGAATAGTGCAAGTAACACATCAATAAAAGAGAGTCACAAAGGTTGTTTCCTACCTTATTGTGATAGTTGGCCTGGCCTAGCCAGTGTTCTTCATGTTTGCCACAGTTTTCACATAGATGTGGTGACTGTTTTATGGACCAAAGTAATGGTCTCTCATAGACATGAACTTTCACCAATTAAGATTTCATCTGTACAATATCATTAATCATTGCCTGGAGAGAGTTTAACACCTTCCATTACCAAATAGTCTATCAAAGCACTTAATAACATTGAATACAAATTTTTATTAATATTTTCAATTCTTAACTGTTTTAAATGTTGGCTTACCACTACCAATTGATTTTAATTAATAATTACAATAACTAATACAAAAATAGCATAAGTAAATATTACATTATAAATTATTAAGTATTTATTTTTGCTTTCTATTCAGTTATTTAGTTTCAATCTCCAGATAAAACCTGCTTATTTCTTACATACTAATGGTGCTATTCGTACCTGGTCTCTTCAGATATTTTAGTTAACAATATTTACTCTAAAAATTGATGTCATTCTAAATTTTGTACAACTTCAGTTTATATTGTACTCCATTTTATTGTTTCATGAGCTTTTGAATAAAAAATTATCACTCATACAATTTCTAAAAATTTCTTGATTGTATCCACTCAGATTTTAAGCCAATTTTATCCTAAGTATTTCTCGATGCATTTATATGAAATTAATAATGCTATCTCTAATTTCAGCAGTCCCTTTTTAGAAATAAATTTTTAAAACTTTTTCATGCACAAAAGAAATATGAAGGAAAATGAAAAGTGGGGTGATAGCTTCATATACGGTACTATTTCCACAATAT